TAAAGGAACTTTCTTTTTATATTAAAATATGGCTTGGAATTTTATAAGCTTAATTTCCTTAATAATATAATTAATAAAGGGGAAAGATATTTCTATAATTACTAATAATTATAATATATCCGATCTATATTTGAGTTCTTTTTCCTAAGGCCTAGTCTTGGATTTTATCTAAAATATAATAATAATTCAGACTATATTTTTTCTTTTAGAAAGAGTAATATAAAGGCTAGTTTATATATTCTAATTATTTAGTTATAGAGTATTAGATTATAAGCTAGATACTAAGGCAATTCGTATTTACTCTTATTATTTATTATAAAGGTAATAAATGGCTTATAAGAAGTTCTTTCTATTATCTTAAAATATACTAGCTATAAAAAAATAAAGATTAAGTTTAAATATAATAGCCTATAAGCTACTATTTATATTTTAGTTATATTCTCTTAATAAATCTTATAGAGCTATTCTTAATACTAGATTTGCTTTTAAAATTAAGAATGAATTTATAATTATATTTATATTTATAATAGAAAATAAAGTTAAGATATAGGCTAAAATACTTCTTCTAAAATTACTAGAGTTAGTAATAAAGGTTACTAAAATAGAGAATATATATATAATAAACTTCGGATTTAAGAACCTAGAACTAAAATAGAAATTTATAATTATTTATAATATTCTTTTATTTTATTATATAAATATTTAAATATATAGCCTTCTTATATTCCTTAGAGTATTATACTATATTTACTAACTTCTAGATCAGAAAATAGATCTATAATACTTATTTAAATTTCTTTACTAAATTACTATATTATATAGTTTAAAGAATATATAATAGCCCAGAATATTAGAGTATTATATTTATCTAATATTTAGATTAGAACTAATACTTCTATAGAATTAGAATATAGTACTAATACTAATACTAGCTATAGAGAAGCTTTATTAGATAAGAGAGAATTAATATTAGTAAAACTAGAGAAATATAATAGTAATAAGCTTATAACTATATTATTAATATCTAGCTTTTCCTTAATCCTATAAGTATCTAGTATTTTTACTAGCTCTTTTATTTTTTTCTTAGTCTCGACTTTTAATTAATATTTATTAAGCTTCTTACTAGTAATTTCCCTTAGTAAATTATATATCTAATATATAAATAAATTCTTTATAATATCTATATTTTTATAGGTATTAGTATATATAATATATTAGTTTACTATTTTAAAAACCTTAAAATAATATATATATATTTCTTTATATTAAATATTTATAGTTAAGGTATTATTAGTAATCTATATATCTAATAATTAATAGTAATTTATATAATATAAAGTATTATATAAGTCTTATTTATTTAAGAAATAGTTTATTTCGGTTATATTTTTTATATAAGTAGTAAAGCTAGTTAGTAGGTTTATTATTTCTTCTTAAAAATATAGAATTATAGATATTACTATTTATATAGCTATTATTATAATTATAGATATTATAGAATATATTATATTTATTATTAAATAGGCTTAAATAAGTATAATATTACTCGAGTTTTATAGATAGAAGATATTTCTAAGACTAGATAAACGAATTAGAACTAGAATTAGAGGGCTATAAAGTACTAATTTGGTATTTATTAAGATAGTTATATAACTTATTATTTATTAGAAAATAGACTAAATAAGTTTAGTATTATTATTACTAATTAATCTCATCTAATATATTACTAAATTAAGGTAATTATTAAGAAAATATAGGCAAGAATAAGCTAAAGAACGGGAGGAATTAGTTATTATATAAGGCCTAGCAAGTATAGGTAATTACTTTTAAATCTAGAATACTATTTTATTACTATTATAAATAATTAAAGCTATCCTGAAATTGTATTTACCTTTCTACTTTTTTTTTATAAACCTTTATAAGCCCTTATACTTCTAGATATTATTCTATTAGTATATAGTATAATTAGTATTTATTTACTTAGTTCTCTATTTTATTTCTTTATTTCCTTTAACCTATATAAAATAATCTAATTAAAGTACTATTATCCTATTATATATATTTTTTTTCTATTATTTTTTTATTCTCTTATTATAAAAGAAATAATAGATAATAATATATAAAATAGTAATCTATTAGATTATTATTAAAAATTAAGATAGAAATACAGGTTCTAGATATATTTATTCAAGTTTATTAAATAGTATTTAGCTTACTAATTATATATATTTCTATATATTATTTCTCTATTTTATTACTACTATAAATAGGCAAATAATTTCTTTTATAATACTTTTACTATTATAAGTTAAATATTTAGTTATATTTTGTTTTAAAAGAGATTTTAATAAAGTAAAAAGTAGTTAGAAAATTAATTAACTTTAGAAAGGTCAGGTTATTCTTAATAATTACTAAAGAAACTTTCGGGTATTTAGTTCAAATACTTATATAATTTGGTTAGTAATCTAATACTAACCGAGAAGACCCTAGTTAGTTAGGCTCTAATTCCTTTTTAGGCTATATCTAAGCTTTAGTAGGTAGTTATATTTCTCTGACTTAGTATTATTACGGGACTAGTATATTTACTTATTTATAAGAAAAGTAGCTATAAAAGCCATATATCTAGTTATATAAGATAGGATTTAAAAGCTATTTCTTTTTCCTTATTAATATTAGTAATAGAGGAAAAAGGTTTTCTTTTTTATAAATAAATAATAAAGGAAGTTTCGTATTTAATACTACCTGCTATATATATATCTAGTCTTATATATCTAAATATAGCCAAAATATAAATAAAGAAATAATACTTAGTTTTTTACTTAATATATATATATAAAACTAACCCTGACTATATAGCTCAAAATCTCTATTTATTAGTATATAATTATTTACTAACTTAGTATATTAAAGACTAGAGTTAGCTATATTAGTTAATTTATTTTTATTATCTTTACTTATAGTTAATAGATAGACTTTGGAGCCTTATATATTCTATTTGAGATTAGAGTTAGTATTATCTATTTCTATTATTTCAAAATTATAAGTTATTAGGGAAATTAAAAGTATATTAGATATAAAGGAAACGAAAGTTTGCCCCTAGATATATTAGTAGTATTTAATAAAAAGTAATTATAATACTTATTAAGAGAACTTCCGTAATTCCTGGAAATAGTAGGGTTACTATTAAGGCAGGTAATATAGCTAGATTTAAGCTAAAAAGAAAAATTAAAATATTAGATATAAGGGCTATTTTTTTATAAAACTAATAAAGCGAGAAGCAAGCGAGAAAGTAATAAGTAATAATAGCTATAATAGCTATAAAGATAAGACTTCTTTTCTCATCCTTATTATATAAGATAAAGGCAAAGGCTAACTAGAATAAGGCTAATATAGCGAAATTTATAAAAAAGAATACTTATAGGAAATATCTCCGAGAGTTTAAGAAGGGTTTAAGACTAAGCTATAGCCTCGAAAATATTATAGCCTATATCTATAATTAGTATACGAGAGTTTACTTCTAGGAAAATACATATATTAATTATAAGGCTTAGTAAAAGAGATAGGGCTTATAAACTATATAGTATTACTAGCTTAATCTCCTTTTCGTTATAAATAACAAGTATAACCTCTTCTATAAAGATATATATAATAAGAATTCCTTGGATATAGAAGTATTTCTAAGGCTCTTTTCGAGAATTATACTATTAGATAATAGTATTTATAGTATAAATAATAAGTATGAGAAATACGAATGAGTATACTATAATAGTAAATAGAGCAGCTATAAGTATAAGGCAATAATTGGTAAGAAGGTAAGCTAGTATAAGTAGGGAACGAGGAGGGCATATATAGATTGCCTCGTTCTATAAGTTCTTCTTATATATTGAATTGGATCCCCACATTTATTCGCTATTATGGCTTGATATTATTACCATAGGATGCCTAGCCAAATGGGATCAGAAGCCTCAATTTCTGCAGGGACCATGGCTTCGTGGTCCCTACTCCGTACCTTATTCTTTCTAGGATCATGAGTCTATAGTCCCTGGCGATTCCCTTTACCTTCCGGGACTAGCGGGACCATGAGTCCATGGTCCCTGCGATTCCAGTCTCGCTTTATTTTCAGACTCCATAGTACCCTCCCGATTTGCCATCGTCGTGGCCTATTTTCACAATTCAGCCTCGTGGCAGGCATGGCATTATCGTCCAATATGTCTACGTGGGATACCTTGATTGTCCCCCAATGGCCAGTGGAACATGCGGAACTGGTGTATGCTGATCTGGCAAATACTCTAGTTCAAAGCATCGTCTCCCCCAATCCATCTATGATTGCTCATGGGCCACACTGAATCGTATATCTCCAGCTTCTTTGGGGATAAGAATCCTGTATAACTTAACTGCAGAATGTGTTTGCCTCCCCCACATCGCTGCGTCGACGAAGCCGTCTTGATTAATCCTCTATACCATATCTCTGGCATTGCCTCAACTGAATTGGGTTCTCGAAAAAGTAAGGTCCTACCGGGTGGTTGAAATTGCATACTGCGGTACTAATACTCCACTTCAAACTGTCCATCCCTCCCTACCTGTCCGCATGAAAAGTCAGGGGCCAATGCACCGTGTCTCAATTGTGTGCCTCCAGCTGCTTTGGCGATGAGGATCTTGCATACAAGCCCCAGTGCCTCCCCCGTATTGCAGCATGATGAGTTGACGAAGCCATCTTGATTATTCAAGACGCCAGTATACCGTGCTACAAGCATGAGCTGCAGGTTCGATGAGCCACATCGATTGGTGAAGATACCAATTGCTGTAATCATGGCAGATGAGGAGATCGGCGTTATGGTCCTCTTATGAACTAAGAATTTCCCCCCAAATTTGATCATCTCCTTCCGAATCAAAACTCTTCGAGCAATTTGTAGAGCCTTTCACTTCTGTATACCTTGTCTGTTACTTATATAAAGCCTATTACCCATCTAAATCCTGCTGCCACCTCACAGAACAAGACAATGGCAGGACACTTTGAGAATGGTTCTCTACTAGTTCAACCCCTCTCAGACGCTCAAGCCTCGATCCTGGACTTCTTATTCCCAGGCTTCACCCGCATGTCTACCGCTGTCCAATGGTATCTCACTATTGACTTGAGCGTCTATGCTCCTCTGCTCTGTTTCTTTGGGTTGTTTGTGTTCGCTTGCGGACGTATTTGCAAGTACTTGTTAGGATTGCTTGAGACTTATTATAGTAACTCCCTCTATCCGAATAATAGAACGCACTTTCTAATAATTAGTAGCTTTAACTATTCATCTTCAATATCGTAAAGATACATATGATATGCTTATATTGTGGATATCTTCTCAGAGCTTCGCCCAGAATGCTCGCTCCTCCCTTGTTACTACCGACTTGGCCTCGTTATTGAACTACTCAAGAAATAATCCTTTAAACGGCGGAGATACAAATAAAAAGACTCTATATTATATACCCTGGAATAGACGCTTTTTCATGCGATATAAGGGCCGTCTGCTTGTATTCCGGCGTTAATATAAAGCTGGAGAGTTTAGTAGCCGAGAAGAGGCCTCCATTTCCTGCTTTGGCAGATCTTTGCAAATTCTTAGAGTACTGCTCTCTGAGTACCGTACCGAGTATGCAAACCTTATTCGGGACAAAACCTGTCTCTATAAGAACCAAGATAGCAAGTAGATAAGATCTGCTGTATCTAAAACAAGACGCACCTCGACCGTTATTCTTGATCAGGAGAAGAAAAAAGAGCTACTGGAAGATATTAGGGAGTTCCTTTACCCAGTATCCTAATAGTGGTATACCGATCGTAATATCCCCTACCGACGGGGTTACTTGTTATACGGACCTCCTGGAACTAGAAAATCGAGTTTGAGCTCGTCTATCGCTAGTAAATTTCGTTTGAATATCTATATCCTCAACCTTCCTACTATTAACGAAGCCTACCTGAAGAGCTTATTTAATAGGCTTCCAAGTCGCTGTATTATTCTTTTAGAAGATATTAATACGGTTAGTTCGAACCGAGACGTTAAAACCGAGGACTCTCGCCAAATCGTAACTGGCTCCCCCTCCCGAATAAGTAAATCTGTTAGTAGAAAGGTATCTTTATTCTCTCTCTTGAATATTATCGATGGTATAGGGTCACAAGAAGGTCGGATCTTGATAATGACTACTAATTATATTATATGCCTTGACAAAGCACTCATATGACCTAGCCATATAAACAAGAAGATCGAGCTCGGGCTTGCTAATAATAAAATAACGGCTGACCTCTTCTGTCTCGTCTTTAAGCCCGTAGAAGGCGACGTCGCTTTTCTAAAGAACGTTTAATCAGGAGAGAATAGAAAAGTCTATAAAGCTATAGTGAGTCAGAAGGAAAAGACTAGGAGAGTTGAGCGGTTGGCAAAAAGGTTTACTGGCAAGATACCGGAGTTAAAATTTAGTCTAGCTGAAATTTTCTCGTTTCTTCTGGAATACAGGAAATTACCAGAGCAAGCTATTAATAATGTAAAGCAACTTATCTCGAAGCCCATTGGAGCAAAGTCGAAGCCACCGAGGATATCCGAGGCCGCCAAGCCTAAAGATACTTAGTTAGTATATATCTAACGAAGTATAAACAAAACTTTGCTAACTATCTATTTAGGTAGGATAAGGAATCTTTAATAACGAAAGTCTTAACCGAGCCTTGTTTGCTAGCTCCAAGTCATATATTTCCGGTAAACCAAATATTAGTATAGATTATAACTAGTAAGTATATTTAATAGTTCTTGGAAATTCTCAAGTCCTTTAGTACCTAGCAGGGGCCTCTACCAAAATCGCCAGGTGCGAAACCTGGTACTCCAGAAGGTATCTAGCCTGAGATAGCTCCAGCTTCTAAGCTAGAGTTCAAGATAGTAAATAAAGTATATATCCCTAATAGTAATTAAACTCTGGCTAATAATCTATCCAGATAGGACAAGGAAAATTCTGAATATAAAATCCAGGAACCTTTAATAGCAAAAGTAAATACGCTAGATGGCTATGTATTTGTTATATGCATACGGATTAGTAAGTGGAATTACCTTTAAAGACGCTTCTATATTAATAAGCTTTTAGATAGGAATATAAAAGACCTAACCTTTTATGTTAATATTAAATCGGAAAACCTCCGAGATATTTTGAGGGAGGTATTAAAGGACGTTTATGGGATAAGTTTATTAGAAGAAAAGCCCAGGGTGAGTCCGATCTCGAATTAGAGGGATAGATAGCCACTAATCGGGTATAGGTTAAGTAATATCTCCTGTACTATTACCTTCCCGAACTCGAATTGCATTAAAGTACCCTTTAGGCGGATATAACGCCCAATAAGCATCTCGATTTATTAATCGACTATATAAAGAAGATCTATGCTCCCATGACCGAGCATCTCCGCCCGCTCTTCTAGTATGGCGAGATTACGTGGGATCTACTTTGGGCCCTCTTTAAGCCAAATACCTCGGTTTATATTACTTGTTTCGGTACCAAAAAGCTGCAATATATTATATATAATTCTTTTAAAGAGAAGATTAATAAGGCGAAAAAGAAGTATTTTAGTATAGACTGCCAATTTTTCGACTTTAATAGTAAAATATTTAGTAAGGCCTCTATTAAACTAGTTATTCCAAAATTCCGGGGGCCAAAGCAGATTAATACCTTACTAGCTTTCCCTCTCAAATACTATCTAGACGAGAAACAGGTCAAGTTTGACCTCATTAAATGTGGTCGAAAGTTTGTCTGCCTAATCGAGACTTACTATATTTATTATTATGGTAAAGCATTTCTGATATACCGAGGAGAACCGGCAAGGTTTTCCGTTAATAGTCGGGTTATAATTAATACCGATTTTTTCTGGAAGATAAATCCAAACTACTCTCGGCTATATACCGACCTAGCTAGGACGAGGCCACCCGGGAATAGCCTATTAGTAATATACGTCGGCGGGCCGCCGCCGCCGCCCCCAGGAAGTCGCGAGCAAGTCAAGAGTAATAGTATTAAACTGAATAATCTAATAGAGGGGGATTTCCTTATTTGCTATCTAATGGTATTCGGTTTTAGTTTTAGTAATAAGCTATAGGGTAAATCCCGCCCCCTTCTATTAAATATATATATCCTAACTAATTTATAATATATAGCGGAATTCGCTATTACCAATATCAAAGATATTAAATAGTTACCCTCGCCTTATACTTATCTATTAATATCTAATAAGTAAAGGGATATTATTATAGCTCTTATCGAGGCTCGCCTTAACCTAAGCCTAGAGTTTAATAACTTTGTTAAAGAAAAGGGGAAGGGTCTTAATATACTCTTATAGTACGGCTTCCTTTATACTAATTCTCTTTATAATAAACTAATATATAAAAGTGGCCTACCAGGAGTCGGGAAAACCTTTATAGCAGAAGCGGTATCTGAGTACCTAAAAAGGCCCCTCTATTCGGTAGGTTTTTCTTTCTTGTACCCTGCAAAGCATAAGCCTAATCGACCAGATCTCTATTAGGGAATTACTTCGTAATATAACGGAACTTGAAGACCGACTCTCTCGAATCTTCCAGATTACTAGCTATTGGAACGCCATTTTTCTTCTAGACGAAGCGGATATCTTTCTTAAGAGTTATTCGCTTAATAATTTAACTCGTAATGGCCTTGTCTCTATATTCCTCTGCAAATTGGAATACTATAAGGGAATACTATTCCTAACGACAAACCGGGTAGGGCAGTTTAATAAAGCGATTCTGAGCCGAATCTATCTCCTGTTAAGATATAAAGGCTTAACTCAAGTTATAAGGAGGCAAGTCTGGAGGAACTTCCTTTCTCGGGCAGCCACTTCTTCTGGAGATATAGATATTAAAGATGAGGAGCTAGAAGAATTAACTATACCCAAGTTAAACGGCCGGCAGGTAAGCTATCTTACCGGATCCCTAGCCTTCGTCTTACTAATATCCTTTTTAGATAAAGAATATCATGTCCGTAGCTCAGGCTTTCGCAAGAAAGGAGAGGAGCAAGATAGAATTTCTATATACAAAGAAGGCTTTAGAGGCGAATGAGAAGTTTTTCACGGAGTTTTATAGGAAAGAGGCTCTCAGGTCTATGTATTAATGTAAAGGATATATAGAGTTTGAAAATAGGCTCGGAAAGTCCGCTAAGTTGCAAATATGGGTCATTTCGTTCCACTGGGTCTCGATTACTTTCAGGTAACAAGGAATTGGAGTATGTACTGAATCCAATAACGTATTTCTTACCTTTCTGTCCTATATCTGGGTCTTGGTCATCTCCTGCGAGCTCGCGCCTCGTGGTTTGACCCATGCTTAAAAGTATGCGAGGGGTCTGGTTTGGTTGTAGCCGTGTTCCGATAGGAAGGGTGTGTACAGGCTCAGGGAAGTATGCCAGATTGCAAATATAGGCCATCTTTCGTTTCTCTGGGTTTTGTATTTGGTGATATTTCGGGAGGAATATATAGGCAGGCATTATACTATCCCTAATCAATTTTCTGCTTTGAGAAGACTGCAGGCCGTATAGGTGCAATATTAACCCGTATGTGACTTCCTAGGAATATTGAGGTCTCTGTCCTATTATATATATGAGTCTTCCTCCCTGAGTAAAATCTTTAAACGAGAGTCCTGCCTCTGCTCTGGTTCTAGCTGGCTTCTTCATCATGTGGTCTACCGGTTTCGGAGGTGATTATCTAGATTTGATAGGGTATTAGTACTTCAGACCGCTTACCCAGCCAAAATAGCGGTTTATTATCCTATTATAAGTGCCGTCTAAGTTTCGGGAAGAAGAATACTAATATATTATTAAAGTATTATATGCTACTTGGGGCTCGTTATTAATACTATTACTTACTAGTAATACAAATCAAAACCTATCCTAAAAATCCCGACTCTTTCTTATAAAGATATTACGATTATTTTTCTAATTATTTCTACTAATATTAAAGAGCTTTAATAAAGGATATAAAGTATATTAGATTATAATTTATCTTAGATCTTACTTGTAACTATAATAAGTTAATATAATATTTTTCGGAAGTTTTCCAAATTAATAAATACAAGAAAACTCAAAGTCCTCGAAAGTCCGGTTATTAATAAACGTCTTTAAGTCTGTATAGCTATTTCTTTGGTTAAGACTCCTATTACTATTATGGCTAATAATAATATTATATAGCCGAGTATTATCCTTCCTTGGCTTTTAGTACCCTTTAAGGATAAGAAGATAGATATAGTCGGGATATGCCAATGAGCAAAACGTCTCAAAACCGGAATAGTTACGGAACTATATTATAATTAGCTAGGTGCTATATATATCGAGCGGCGTAACTTCGAAATATTAGTAATATACTATATTAACGGAGGTACTTTATATATATCCGGAAGAATATATACTTTCTAAACTGAGATCTTATAAGATAAAGGTTTCTTGTCGGGATTCGTAATAGAGATATAGAGAGAATATCTTCTCAAGGCTAATAATAACAACTTTATTATACGTTAGCTAGTTATAAAGGGATAGAAGACCTGGGTTTAGTATAACCGGGAATACGAGATTAAGATAACTCTTGAGAATAATATTAAATTTCTCTATTAATATAATAGATAGGCGAGAAGTAATTAGAGAAGTAATTATACAAGTCTATTTATAGAAAGGCATATCTGGCAGTAAGTTAAAACTTTATAGGAATAATATAGTAAACTGACTATTATATAGGCAGTAACCTTGGTTTACTTATGTTTTATATCTCTCTATATTTACAAATTTTGCTATTATCCGTAACCCTTTGCTTCTTTAGTTATACTTTAATAGTACTTTATCCTTTAAAGATCGCATAAAGATATCTTTATATATTGCTTTCTTAATCTAGTAGCTAGTTACTAAAAATATTAAATTAATCGGGCTTTATAAGTATAATATTCGGGATCTCCGGTTTATACTAGTATCTATTTTCTTTACCTATTTCCATAATTATATTAAGGCCCAAGTACTTTTTACTCTGAGCGAGATATAATCTATCCTATTAATTAGGATATCTAGAATCTAATCTGTATTATAGATAAGCTAGGGAAGTCGATAGGATCTGCTAATGTTGCAATTTCGATAGAGGCAGAGAGCAAAGACTAAAGATTTAAGGTATTATAATTATTAATAAAGGAACGGAAAAGGTAGTAAATATTAGTTATTATTTTTGTATCTTTGATAGTATTATAGCTTTCACGGACTTTCTAATTTCTAGTATATGGTCAGAGGAATTGCGGAAAAGAGATATCTCAGTCCTCAAAAGTATTTTATCTGTACGTCTTCTGTGGCTATGGGTTCTTCGTATGGTTTGAGCAAGGCGGTTTGTTGGAAATTGGTGCCTAAGGCTACCAGTGGCAATTCAGCTATGCAGGGGCATTCAGCTATGCAGGGGCATTCAGCTGTGCAAGGGTGTTTAGCTATGCAGGGCATTTAGCTAAACATGGGTTTTCAGTGGTAATAGGGGCCATTTGGACATGTATAAGTATAGGCCTTAGATTACTGCAAAATGGACAGTCGTCTGAGAAGCATTGCACGTGACGTTTGCTTTGAATTCTCAACACGGTTGCCATGCGTACAAAGTCACGTGACAAAACAATCGCGTAAATTTGAAAAGGGGTAATTAGTTCAATTGTTCACTAGAACGATGCCCTAAGCGAGTACTAACAATTACGCTCTTTTGGCGTAAAAACCGTCACAGTTGGCTTCTCACACCCACGTTCCTCTCAGTAGACCCAAAAAAGGTCCCGCAAGTTGAGTGATAATTAATCGGTTTGCTGAGTCATGGCTCGCTTAGTCAATAGCTTATGCGCCTCACTGTGGCTGAGACGCACAATGTCCTCGTCAATCTAGCCGCAGCCTCAGCTAAAACTACATTAAGATCTATCGGTTCTATCCTCTTTATAATCTTTATGGCTCTCGAGCTTTACATCCCGCCTTGCATTAGCAGTTCTGCTCACCCTCTCCATCCCCCACCACTGGAGCAGCCCCTGAGAATCCAGATCGAAGGTCCACTAGCATCCATCCAAAAACTCCTTCCAGAGGTATCATGGCATACTGATACCGCATCCCTAGTGTTTCCGCAGCCGGCCGGCCCGGGGCTTGCAAGATTGGCGTATCAGAAAATATATGGGCAGGAAGTTCGTCTAGAGGTCGCTGGTGATATGGTTGTGCGGGATGAGTACTTGGGATGGGTGACAGGGGAAACACCACCATTGAGGCAAGTACGTATTTGTTGAGAATAGCCCTTTTACTCTACGGCTGACCATTTCTCTAACTAGGCACATTGACTACTATGGCGTCACATTCGACCACCTCGTCCCTGCCGACGATCCCGATCCAAAGGTATTACAGATCAATATTATCGAGATAGATAACGATGGGGGAGCATATACAAACGAGTACTTACCATTTGCAGTAGATCCGGCGGAATATATAGGGAAGAAGGTACTAGCCGTGCCAAGATACTGTTAGAAGAGGAAGGGGACACAAGATTGTAAAAGGGTAAATGGCTTAGTGGCTGAGAGGGATAGGGAAATGAAAGAGACCTAATGCTAGTAAGGAGGAGAAATTGGAACGGCAAATCAGGAGAGGGAAATTATCGCCTGTCTACCCTCTCCGCAGATACAATATGGGTCCATAATCCCCGGGACTCGGAATTACGATTTAGCCAGCTTAATAGGATTGAGTTCTCTTCGCAGGTCAAGATTCCTTAACGGGGTCCGAAATGGAGACCTTATATATGCTGAATATTAAAGGCATAATATATAGCCCTTGCCTCGAGAAGTGTAAGTGGAGTGATTATTATCTCTATCTTGCCCCGTGTGGTTTGGGCCAGTTCCCTGCAAGTTGAAAGTCATATTTGGTATATGTTTAGAGTGAAAAGAGGATGGGAATAGCTGAATATTGCAAAGGTAATACATATTGATAATAGTGAAGAAACTCTGTCCGCTCAGATTGGTCTCTAACTAGCCTAGTAGCCAGTATGTTCCAACTACTCTCCTTCTATACATGGTATATCTCAATAGAAAACAACTTTCTAGATCTGCCTTATTAAGATCGTCGGCGAGTTGATAGATTTTGTCGGTGGAGGCGTACAAGTACCCGTATTAGGGTAACCTTGGATTCTAGTCTGATGGCGGCGTATTGCAGGCCGTGGCGCCGCAGTTCCTGTTGATCGTATCCCCATCTCGGTAAGTTGGTATACAAGAACCCTTGTTTATGCAAGGTGAGGGGTTTCGAGTTCCCTTGACGTGACCGCAGCTGTAGTAGTCGGTATAGATGGTATACATCTTCTAATTTTTATTAGAGGAACTGCGTACCCATTATTTAGAGAAGGCTGGTTGCGGTAACTCACAATGTTTAGTCAGGAATGTTGAGGGGTCGGATATATCTTGCTGGTTGTCAGGTGACGTTTTTGAATTGTCCCTGATGCTTAAGCGACTTGAGAGTTAGGATTTTTTTTCAGGCTTTGAACAAAGAGGTGGGATATTCATAGCAAAAGATAGATTAAGAAAACTGAATAGGCAGGTGTTTGGATGAGCGGGGGATCTAAAAGGGTCCCAGGGTGATTCTTATCTTCTGTCGAAATGAGGCTCTCAAATCCTCCAAGAGACCCAATGCCTTTCACGTGTTTCTTTCTCGGCTGCGAGCCAATGGTGGTCGCGAGTGCTTGGCTGGCCGCCCAACCCAGAACTTATTCGAGCCGCATGCCGCCCTGAAAGACTGTATAGTATGCGGGTGCAACGCTCTCTGACTCATTCAATTCTCTCCTGAGAAAGTATGACCAGGGCTAGGAAGACTAGCAGTGTCCCACCACAACATTATTCACAGAATTGATTGGCAGCGATACACTATGCAATATAAGAAATGTGGGCCAACGCCCCGCATCAATACCATGCGTTTATCGTACATGGCGATGTATCCTGTCTGATCCAATCGTAATGATAACAAAACCTCAAAGTCCTGATTTAATCTTGGCACGCCTTACTTTACTCCGTGTTAGAGCCGCAGTTTACACAAAAAAGGGAAGAAGGATGAACTAACCCCTCCTAAAAAGGCAGCCTCTGCCCAGCTGACGTATAGGAACCGTTAAACTTGCACGGCGAGAGAGAGATACCGGCCAGGTCGCTGGTTGCACCTACCTGCGCCTTGGGCTGGTTTGTTGGCTACGAAGTACCCTTCAACTCGCCCCAAGAAGCCAAGAGCCACCCTTGCAAGGCGGTGAGACGCTTGGACTAACCAAAAATACAGGATAAGTCGTCGCCCCATAAATTTCCTCTATAATAGAGATGGCAGAACGCTTCTCTTTATCCAAACCATCCAGTCCTAACTCTATACTCCAATGGCACCCTGTCCCTCTAATCGTGAACTACCTCTGTACGCTAGATCTTGCGGCCCATAACGTAGCTTAGTAATCGTAGGGGGCTTTCATCCCGTACCCGCGCTAGCTCCGATCGCTGCTGCTGAACGGGCCAGCCTGGAACTATTATCAGTTTCTAGAGGGCCGTTTTAGACCCCTAGAGGTAATTAGCCAGTTGCCAGCATTCGTTGGATCGCTGGCCTCTAGGGGGCCAATTTTGACCACCCATACAAAATACAGTATAACTCCTTTATCGGTCCACCGGTAACGCGTAGCACCGTTACGTAAGTCATGGAATGCTAATTGCGTAAAGTGGTGGTTGATTAAGGAGAGGAGAGGTTAATAATACCGTAGTATTATCGACCAACCCCAAGAACTAACTAAGCCTAATCAGGATTAGCAATAAGGGGTCTGAGCGCGCTTACTCACTCTGTTACATAATAAATCACGTAACCACTGCAACTATAGTACAGTTATACTAGTATCGTTATTAGTTACACATATGATCTCTGTCTTATTACATAATGTTGCATTAAATGCGGTTGTATTGTAATATAATCAGATATGGTAGGAAGAGAGGTGTGGCGTGGGTAGCCGGAGCTAAATACAGTGGGTATAGTCACGTGAGTGACTAGCCTGCAGTTGCTATGCAACACATAACTACTTGTTGCGCAATGTCCTGTTACATAACTACTTGTTATACAACGTCCTGTTGCATAACTACTTATTGCACAACGCCCTGTTGCATAACTACTTGTTATATAACAATCCGTTGCACAACGCCCTGTTCCATAACGTCTATCCCTGCGTAATGCCGAAATAACTCCGTATACCCGCGGAATTATTACAGTGTATTATACGCTGTCCTGATCCAAGCTTGTGGCTGGTGATACTGTGGCTGTGCGTTGTCTCTGCGTGCCGAGAGAACTCGGCTGAATGTCCCCGCCGTCGTCCTCAGATGGATTACGACCCACCCCGGACAAAGCGCTCTGCTTATTACTAACGGCATTCTGATCTTTACGCCAGCTGCTCTTACGGGCCCACTACTCGCAACGATGGGCTTTGGGGCTTCAGGCCCTGTTGCTGGCGAGTGATCATAGTTGCATTTCACGGAAGGATCAAGACTGATTTTTTGAATTACATCAGGCTCCGTCGCCGCTTGGCTTCAGTCGATACTAGGGAATGTCGGGGCACATAGTGTGTTTGCATATTTGCAGAGTGCAGCAATGGGAGGATATGGGGTTGCTGCTGTTAATGGGATAGTGCAGGCTTGTGCCATGATTTCGGAGGTTGCTATTACGTATTCTGGCCTAGCAAGACGTACCAAGTATAGTAGAGTTCGAAATCGGCTTCAGTCGGAACACTCAATGATTTTATTTTGACCCACATTTTATGCGGAACTAGAAGCACTCACTAGTCCAACCGCCTAGGCTATACAGCCGCCCGAAAATTTGATTTTACCATAACAACAGCATAAAATCAAAATTTCAAGTAGATATTCGTGATTAGCACCTTTAATATAGTAAATATAGAGATTTTTAGAATTTGCCAAGCACTTTGAAAAAATTCGAAATATTGGTGTTCCGACAGGGGTAAAAGTGGGCGGTTGAGTAGACTGGGCGGTTGGCCAGTAAGTTCTTCTAACTCTGTTATGTAAGCGATCCCTTGCCTTAATACTAAAATAGATTCCAGCCTAAGAATTAAGAGCTGAAGTACGAACGGCACATTCCATCTTGCTGATAATACCTATGTGAAGTCAGAAGTCTATAGCGTCTGATACATGAATACCAAAGCGCATTGCCTTCGCGTCGAAGATTCTTTCTACTACAAATGGCATATCATAACGCACCACAGATCGTGCCTACCGATAATCCTCCTCAAGTGTCGTTCAGCGATGCCCCTGAGGTTGCGCAGCCTGAGAAAGAAGTCAAGATTGGAGATTATCAATACTATCAAGGGGTAGAGGCTGACCCTGAGAAGCCAAGTATCTGTGGCTTGAGGAGATTGACTTTCTTTCTCGCGATATTAGTTGCTTTGTTGGTCGTAGGTGGTGCGGTAGGTGGAGGGGTTGGTGGATCCATGGCAGCAAAGTCGCGCAAGGACTCAACCTTGCAGAGTCTTTCAAGTACAGCGGGGTACGTACCGGAATATGTCCTATTCTCCTCCAAGGTGTCAATTACGTCGATCATTCTAATTGAGACTAGCACCATGCATCTCTCAACTGGAACGACCCAACCCTCAGCAACCACAACCGTAATCATCCCCGTCGCTACCGACAAGGCCGGCTGCCCCCTAGTTAATAACACAGTTTTCACCGCGCCGTCTGGCTCGCGGTTCCAGAAAATCTGCTACGATGACATCCTATCGATCAACATCGACTTTCAGATGCACGTCGTAACGTCGTTTGATTCGTGCATCGGGCTGTGCGATTCCGCGAATGTAGAGAACGGTACGCCGATTTGCAAGAGTGTGGTGTGGGATTTGGGTGGGAGTGATAATCAGGATTGCTGGTTAAAAAATGCGTCGGCGGTTTTGACGCCGAACTCGCAGACGGGGAATGTTAATGGGACGGCAGCGGCGATTTTGTTGTAGCCTTTTAGGGAGTGAATTGATTGCTTGTAAACGCAAGATTTGACAAAGGTTGAGCTGTGACAACACGAGAAAAGTGTGACGGCGCTGGCTGGGGGCCAAAGGGGGGTGGCTATCACATGACTGGTTTCACCTAGCTAGCCGGCGTTTCAGTGGTTTTAGCTAGTATTTCCCTCCTTTTATCCCCTTTCCTTCTCTCTCTCCTTCTTCTCCTTAGCTTAGTATTCTCAATACATGGGATTTTCCTGGATCTTTGAGCCTTTGTACCATTGCCTCGATCCCGCCGTCACAAAAAGAGGCCTCAGGGGAGAAGCATAATGTCGATTTGTAACTTAGAATACAAAGCTAAGGAGAGAAGTTCGGGTTGAGGCAAGTAGAGGTAGTTGATATCCCGCGGCGAAAAACAAATACTGATATGAGTAGGGTATAAAGTGCTCGGCCACTCGTATTCTTTCTGAAGCTGTTGGCTGTCGCCGCTTTCTTGCAGCGCAATGGCGACACTACCGAACTTCACGTATCCGGACCCTATATCCCAGGCTGAGGCCCCGCTATACACCTATAGGATAGACGATGATGTGAATATCACATGGGAGTACCCTTGGGCGTAAATAGTATGGATGTACGTGGCTTGCAATAACCGGAGTGCAAGTGGTGCCATTCCAAGTAAGTTATAGCTTTGGGCCGGGCGAGTCGTCCCTCTTTATACCAACTTTCAATGAAGAGCATAGGTGCTCAAACACCCTGTGCTAACTTGTAATAAATAAAGCTACCTGGTCCTGGGGTTCCTTTGGTGGTATCAATATTTCTTTCGGATATTATGTGACACAAATGGGAGAGAGCGAGGTAACGACCGGCACGCTCTGTTTTTTCCTGCTTGGCGCGACAGTGCCAGGACCGCAACCTGGCGAGCCAGAAAGTGGTGTCTTTACAGTCTTACCGAGCAGTGGGAATCCAACAGTTTGGCGCTTGTCCGCGACAACTACAGCTTCGACTACAGCTTCGAGTACTGCTTCAAGTACAGTACTGCTTCAATGAGCCACACAACAAGTTCCACAACTTCGATGAGTACTTCGCCGACATCAACTCCGAAACCACCAGGTCCTTTGCCGGTCTCTGTAACTGAGAGTGCAAGCATTGGTGTCGGCGTCTCGCTCTTTGTTTTACTTCTTATCGCGGCATTCATCTTCTACCTCCGGTGGCGGCATCGCCAAAATTCGGGGACGAACACTAATGCAGGAGCACAGTTTGAGAAGCCAGAGTTAGAGGCTGCCCAGGCAAGACAGAAAGAAATCGTTGAGGCTGAAGCAGGGGAAGCTGGCGGTCTTCGTCACGTGATTATACAGAGTCATGAGCTTGAGGGCACCGAGTTTCAAGTGAATTGTGATTGGCACTTGACCTTGCTGAAAGTTGCAGAGTATGGCTAGATATAATGGAATCTTAATGTCGAGCGTATGCTGCGTTCAGGTTTTGCAAGAAGCCATATTTAAAATGACAACAATTCACGTGCATCGCTGTGGAGCAGGGGAGGAATGCTAATGCAGGGGTAAATATTCGGACTACACCGATTTCGACTTTGATTGTATGGGGAGTATTATTGGAAAGTGATCGATTTATTGATGGAAAATCGATATATTGGAGGTTGACAATCTGTAAAATGACTAGATACAGGAGAGTGAAGAGTAAAAAAGGAGAGGAGGGAATCTAAAGTACAGTTCTTATATACCCACTAGTGGGTGGCGATTTCCTCCAGTATATTATAAATCAGATGACTCATATATATTAGTGAGCGTTCCCTGAGCTTCCATAGTGAGCTATTCCATAGGCTTCCATAGTAAACCATTATAAATGAGAGTGGCGAAGCTAATATTAGTAGTTGAACCTGGTACTGGAAGGACTAGTAAGCTAGTACCAATTCAACAAGTATCAGCCAGTAATCTTAGGGTGTTGCAGCCGTACATTGAAGTAAAGCACAAAGTGGATTAACATAAATGTTGTCAGCAAATGGCACGCGCCATTAGTGTTTGAGCTCCCAAATTCAGGCAGGAATACAACGTCGTTGTAAAACCCACCTCCGCCGATATCAGCTAATCGTCAGGAAAATACCACGTGACATCTGGAACAGAGACTTAAGAGAGTGCAGGGGGCCCAAAAATAGGCTAGCTATAAAGGGTTAGTGCGCATAAAGGATGGGTATGGGTCAAAATAAAAATCATTAAGTGTTCCGAACTGAAGCCGATTTCGAACTCTACTATAGTACTGTGTAGACTAAGAAATGATTGAGGGCGTGCTGCGATTAGTAGAGCTCGGTGGACCGGGGCCTCGCTTAAGTGGGAGACGTCTCCCAAGACTAACTAATCGCGTAGTTCAGGAAGGCGCCAGAATTCCTTGTCTCGACAATTCCCCTCTTTCTTATCCACCACGCGATGAATGCGGAGCCACTACCTGTAGATAATGCTTCAACATTCTATGACGATGCGTCGTACGGAATGTACAATGATATGGTCCATGAACTCTTTCCCGATTCACCAGACGTGGATGCCGAATCTTCGGATGCCTTGGTGCCCGTGGTGAGGCCATCAAGCCCGAAAGAGGAGGATGACTCCCTTAGCAGAACGGCTTATGGGGATCTGCTAAGTAAAGCCGTGGAGGCTTTGCGATGCCAAGTTACCAATACAACTAATAAGCTACATGCTGAACAGGGTCCAGATTCGTCGAGAGCCTTCCTTTCTACCGTCACCGCCCTGTCCACGTTGCCGACCGAGGATTTCGCCCGCATCTGTACTGGCATTTATCGTGCTTCGACCTCCTTCTACCCCGACACCCCTCCTGCCAGCGACGCAGGGCCTGGGTCTCCCTTAGCAGACTCGACCAAAGAAGATAGGACTCCACAACCAGTCAAGAGGATACAGATTCAAGAGAAGCTTGAGAAATTCATTGCGAATGCCAGAGTCGCTCTCATCCAGCTCGTTAATAATCATTGGGAACGACTTGCTAGTGGCCTGAAGGTGCAAGAGCTCCAAGGCGACCCTTTCAGTAACGACAAGCGGCTGCGGCGAGTATACCATCACCACGAGCTCCGGAGGCTGAGAGTGGAGACAGAGCTGCACTGGTTGCGGCGGGCACTGTCGCTGATCAGGAACCTCCGCGACTTCCAGGAATATTTGGAAGAGAACGACCACCGTCCTTCGGACACCTCGAATCATCGACTCCGTCATGCCTACTTAGTATATATCTATACTGCTGGCTTCAGCTCATCCGCATTAAACATATATGATATCAAGATAGCTCTCAAGGAAGATCTCCGATACGCTATCCGCTGGATAATCTTTATTAACGCCTTAGGCCTCGGTACTATCCTTATTAGCGGAGAAGCTATTGCGAAACTCGTATAGGCAAGCCAAGTAGCGAACAGCTCTCCTTATTAACTCTGTTTAGGTATAAGACGTCGGGAAACAATAATGATGATCTCCACTGGCTCGCCACTCAGATTAAGCAGTGCCCCACAACTGATTTCCGGGCTCTCTGTGGCATCTTTAATATAGCAATGGCTGATCTCTTGCAGCACTACCAAGTAAAGGATCCTCTTAACAAGCTCGAACCCATGGCAAAGATCCAGGCCGTCGCTAGCGCGTCTGGGCAGGAAGGCTATATTATGACCCGAAAGGCTATGCAGTGAAATCGGAACAAGCAAGATATGTTACGAGGGGAGAGGTTAGCTTTCATTTCTTATAGTAGCTCTGCATTAGAATCCACTATAATTTTGACCTCTTCGCAGCTCACTCTCATCTTACTGTGATCGGTCTTTTTTTTTTTTTTTTTGGCTTAGGTATGGATTCCAGGAACCTATATGCTCCCAAGAGTAGCAGGTTTCCTGAAAGGAAGGCTTCCAGGAACGTGCTGGCTTCCAGGAGTTTTACTCCCGGGAGCCCGTGGGCTCTTGGAATCGTTACGACTCCCAGGAGAAAAGATTCCGGGAGTAATCTAGCTCTCGGGATAACCATACGCTAAGCATCAGGTGCTAACACCGACCCCTTGAAAATCTTTCCTTCTATCCTTATTCTTCCGAGCCAAATTTTTCTCTGCTTTTTTGAAAAGGCGCTTCTCGATATCCTCTGGTATCATGTTCTTTGGGAGAGGATAGTATTGAAATTGGTACGCTACCATAGCTAGCTTACCAGTCCTTCCAGCACCAGGTTCAACCACTAATTTAGGGTTCTCCACTCTCATTTATCATGCGTCACTCGCCGAGCTTACGAAGCTTACTAGTATATCGTCATTTTGATTACCTTTGATTTATCAGCTGATTAATAATGTATCGGAGAAAGCGGGCTCGGCATTACCGGTATTGCCGAAGGGTAATGGGAATAAATCCCTTACTTTGGACATTTTTCCTCTGTTTCCAGAACTCACTCTCCTGTATCTAGTCATTTTGCAGATTGTCAACCTCCAATATATCAATTTTCCATCAATATATCGATCATTTTCCAATAGGTTCTGAGCCCGGCTAGTGCTTTACTAAGCGATCCAAGCGTCACTTGACCTTAGTACTCGCTTGTCCATTCCAAAACCATTTCCAAAAATCATCAAAATCGTCAATTTTGGTGAATTTCACCCATCAGTTCGGCTTCGCGTCAGCAGAATTCGCCAAAAACACAGCCATTTTCGGTCAGAAATTCTCCGCAAAATCCAACATGCCGGATTCCAAAAAATCAACCCATGTCACCTACAAAGGTACCAAAATTGAGCCTCTCTCGGACGACAACATCTACTCCTGGATGGACGATACTATGAACCTCTTTATCATCGAAGATCTATGGCAATTTATCAATCCTGATCAAGCTCCTGCTCTCATAGAAGCAGTCCCAAAGGACAATAAATCGACTACTCGTCAAGTTACAATTACCAGAGCGGTACTAAGCCTACTTATTACCCATAATACCTGGTAATAATTCAAGGAAATCAAGCTCGCATACCAAATTTGGAGCCGGATTCAAGCTAAAGCTAAATAGCTAAAAGCTCAAAAAGAAGCCCTATACCTTTAATAAATAGAAACTATTACGTTTAATAGTACTATGGGAATAGATAACTTCATTAACCGCATTAGTTATAAAGTAGCTAAAATTAAAAAAGTAAACGGGTTAATTTCGGACGTTTCTATATCCGGATACCTGATTCGTGGCCTCCCAAAGAAATATGACTTATATAAGCCCCTCCTGAATTCCATTAGAGCTAATATTAATAAATTAAAGCTAGAATTACTTAAAGCAAACGCTTTTACTAAGGAAAAGAAGCTCAGGACTAAACCTCCCGCTTTTAACCCAGATATTACTCTAAAGGCACTAGCTATTTAAGGAAGTAAAGAAATTTAGTTAAATAAGCCAAAGCAGGAAAGAAATCCAAATACCTATTACTCGTTCTATAAATTTAAAGAGCATAATATTAAAGACTATACTATATATAAATTAGCCCAGAATTACTTTAATTCTAATAGGAAGAACTCTAATTTCACTAATTAGGAAGCACTATTAGCTCTACTAACTATCTATAAAAAGGCTTATACTACGAAAAAATTAACTACTAGAAAATCAATATTTAGTACCCTATTTAGTAGCTAATTATTTAATAATAATTTTACTAATATCTAATATATTAATTCGGGTATTACGAACTATTTTACGGGAAATAAAACCTCCTTTATTACCTATAAAAATGTAAAACTATTCCCTATTACTCTTAATAATAAATCTATAATTCTTATTAAAAGTAAAGGAACTATTATTTTATTAATTACCTCTGAGCTAAAAGTATAGCTAAATAATATACTATATAGTCCCTAATTCCGAAATACATTATTATTATTAATTCCAAAAATTACTTAAGCTAAAGAAACTATTAATTTCTTTACCGGAAATATCTATATTATTAATAATAAAATAATTATTATAACCGGTATATATAAATTCTCTATTAAACTATATTAGCTTAATTAATTTAGTTTAGGGCATGCCCTAAAATTATTAAAATCAAATATACTAGCTTCTCTAGAAACCTAGTACTAGAGATATAGTTACCTAAATATAAAATATATCCTGGAATTAGTAAATTATATTAATAGACTTTAATTTAAAAATTAAAACATATTTAATTATAATTCCTATAATATAAATAAAATTACTAGGGCTAATATAAGTAATTTATATCCTAAAAAACTACTTCTAGGGAAATATATTATAATTAATATATAGGGTCTATTAAAAGTAGTATCCCTTAGCAAAAATACTTATATACTATTTATTACTTATAAGAGATTCAAATATTATATAGTAATATATAATTCGGATAAAAAGAGCTATTTTACTAATCTTTAAGATTAGGTTATATTTTCCAAAACCCAAACTAAAAATAAAGTCAAATACCTATATCTTAATAATACTCCGGAATTTATATTAGGCTAATTTAAGAAATAATATAAATTAAAGGATATTTACTTAGAACTAACTACTATTTATATACCTAAATAAAATAGTATTTCTAAATATAATATATATATAATTATTAAATTAGAATATATAGAACTAGAATAATTAAACTTATTATATAAGTTTTAGAAAAAAGCTATTATATATGAAATTTATACCTATAATTAGTATTATTTACCTAAAATTAATATGACTTTATATAAAGCATTTTATAAGGCTAAACCGGATATTTCTAATTTATAAATATTTGGTTTCTTAATATATATTTATATATCTAAAAAAATAGCTTTATAATATAAGTATATAGCTAAAGTCTTTAAAGGCATTTTTACTAGATATAATAGTTTTAGATACCAAATTTAGAACTTATATAAGTAAATATTTATTATTTCTAATTATTATATTATTAAAGAATATATTAAGAGAGTTTTATTCCTAAACCTAATATCCTAGCTATATAAAAGAATAATAGGAACTACTATAGAATCTAATAATAGTTTTACTAGTAATTCGGATAACTCTAATTTAAACTATAGAAATACTATTATTATTAATACTAGAAATTAATAGCTTAATAATTTATTAGAAAATAATAGAGAAAATTACTCTAATATAAAAGGAAATACTACTAAAAACGTATTATATAATATAATTTCGGGTACTTCTAACCTAAATAAGCCCTCTAAACTACTTTCTAAAAAGAACTAAGAACCTATAATACTTATAAGTAATTCTAAATAAGGCTCTATAAATTAGGAAATACCCGAAATAATTAGTTTTAGGAATAAACTATTTCTTAGATATCCGAAATTAACTAGAATTACTAGGGAATTAGTGAATTATTATATTTTACTAGTTACTAACTAGAATATAGAAGCTTCTAAAATTCTATTATTAATTAAAGAAGCTTTTTCTAGTTCAGATACTTATCTCTAGAAATCTTTAATTAAGAAAAAGCTAGATTTCTATTTATAGAACTATATCTAAAATCTAGTAATATAAAAATACTAAAAAACTATTAAATATTACTAGATCTTTAAAATTAAGTCTAATAAATACTATAAATCTAGGCTCGTAATATAGAGCTATATATAAGAACATAATATAGATTATTTTAAAACCTTTATTTCTATAACTAGACTTTCTATTATTTGAATTATATTAGCCCTAGTAACTAAATATAGGCTTTATATCTAATAAATAGATATCTAAATAGTATTTCTATATAAAGAATTAGAAAAGAAATACTATATGAAATAATTCCCTGGTTTTATTAAAGAAATAAACCTTATTTACTAATTATAAAAAAGTATTTATAGCCTAAAACAAGTCTCTAGAGTTTAATATTAGGTAATTAATTATTTTTTCTATTTTATTAGTTTCTAGTAATTATTTAGTAATCTAGTACTTTATATTTACTAGAAATATAAGGTTAATTAGCTACTAATTCTAATTACTATTTATATAGATAATATAATTATTATTAGAAAAAACATAAATTATATTAATAGAATTAAAGCTTAATTATATTAGAAATTTAATATAACTAATATAAGAGAAATTAAAATGCTTTTAAATATAGAAATTATATATTTATAAGATAGTTTAGTATTTTTATATTAAAATTAATATTTTATAAATATATTTCTAAGATATTAAATAAAAGGTTATATGTTTATTATTACTCTAATAGCTAAACTTATAATATCTAATAGAATTAATATTAATATTACGAAATATTAAAGTTAAACTAGATTACTTATATAGCTTTCTTTAGCTTTATATCCCGATTTCTGCTTTATTATAAATTATTTAGGATATTCTAATTCGTGTCCTAAAGCTTTATATAATACTATATAAAAGTATATAATATAATATATTAAGGGATTACCTAATATAGGCATTTTATATAA